TAATTACGCACGTCACTATTGTCAATAAAAAGTGCCATCAATAGAAAAGGGGTTCTGAAATTTTCAAATTATTTATTTATTGCTAAATAAATTTAAAATATAACCCAAACCATTTTTTATGGTAGTAATAATTATCATCATTTATTCTTTTTTTTGCAGAAAAAATTTTCTTCTTGATTGATGATGGCTCACTTGATCATATTTTCATTTTGTAACATTGTTGATACTTGTACAATAACAATAATATATCGAATGCGTTCGAGATGTCGCCTTTGTAATATAAATCTTATGTAATTATTAACAAATATAAATATATATATACAGATCTTCATCTTTCACTGTAATAAAAGTAACTCACTTGAGTTTAAGGTTAATAAAAAAAGACCATCTGTGATTTCACAGAATGCGCAAAATTTGAACAATTTACTAGTATTTGAAAATTCCCTAGATTGTACGTCTTATGGCATGGATAACAGCATACTTCGCTTGGTGATCGGCTAACCAATAAAGCGTGACTTCGACAGAAACTTCGTATGTTCAGTATATGACTCTTGTAGGTGTTAGGTTCTTAAAATAGCTTACATAGTTAGAATTGGCGTCCATTGACATCCAAAATTAATGCACATCAATATGATTAGTAATTGTATCCGGTCGCGATAATGGTTACCCGGGTAGATGTATAAAGTAGGTTATTCAAGTTTGTAAATGCTTACAATATTAATCTAAGAATTTAAAATAAGCAACATTCATGAAAATTTACTATTTAATACTATTTAATTTCATTTAGTGCTGGATAAATTCGTCAATTAAAATTTACCCTTACTTCGAAATAACGCGCAGGTCTATTAATTAACGTGCACGTGGGCGTTATTTGGCGCCTATATGGAAAGTTTAAACTGATTCTCATAGAAAAAAGTTCGTCTGATTGGCTAATACATTTATGCATTTTAAAAGTACTTTTTAAGACATAGCGTCAAAGTCATCCATAATTTAGAGCATATATGAAAAGCAAATACGATACAGTCTACCGTCTACTGGACCATTCGATCATTTAGTTAACAGTATTGTAATAGTGGATACCATTTCTTTTTTTTTAAATTATACGTAACATGGTATATGTAGTGATATAAGCTGACCCAGCCCATCGGCCTGGAGCGGGCAGGCCAAGGCCGCCCGCTACCTAATGGGTCGGGGTAATAGAATTTTTTTTTAGTATAGAAATTTGCGCAGATATTTTCTAGCACATTTTACGGACAAACAGGGCGACAAACAGGGCTTTGTCATAAAATTGTTGACCAATCAGAAACCGGCTTTATCGACACATGATCAAACTAAGCAGTCAATCAATGGGCATTAATCATATTACTATAATTTCTTTCGTTTAACTGCAAAGTAAAATAACTCGAGTTTTAAAAGAATCTAACTATTCATTCACTCACTAATAGAATTTATCTCAATTAATAAAAATATGCTATCGTATATATTAAATAATTCTATTGAGTTCATAGGGCTGAGTCTTTGCGAAATAACAAGTTCGGCAATAAAAGTTAATTTAAATAAAATCAAATAAAATTGAATTTATAACAGATCAATATAGTATATGTGAGCAGATAAGCATAGTATAGGTCGAAATTATAACCTACACTATACTGATTAACCTTCCTAACCTTAACGTTAATTGTCCGGAGCGTAGCGACGGACACTCAATTTTTATGCAATAAGTAATACAAAAATTACGTTTTTGATGCATGTCGATCGAAAATAGTTACTTTTTGATGCATTTACATAAATTTTATGAAGATCGCATCAAGAACGTAATTTGGAGATTTTTTGTCTGTCCCGCCGCGTAACTATATTTATATTTTTGTGTAACGATGCCGGACACACAATGCTAGATCAGTATGGTATAAATTCTAAAATTCGGCCTATATGATCTGCCACCACCTATACGCACTACATACTGATCAGCGAAAATATGTTTTTCAATCTAACCATTACTGGAATTAGAGTTAAGATTACTGTAGTGCAATTTTTAAAATTGATTATCGGAACCGATTTAGATATATTAACGTTACGCACGAACCTAATTTATATAAATCATTGATTTTCAGCAAAAAAAGTTGGCCCAGCTGTGGTAAATATTGAATTTTTCGTCCAACAGAATTACATTATATAACTTATGATTATTGTTAAATCATGCGCAGAACATTCTTGAGCATTTTGAGCATCCCCATAAATTCGATTTTCCAGTGAACGAATAGTGCACAAGTATTGTGACTTAATATCATATTGAGGAATTCAAAAAAAATTTACATGACTATTTTGCAATTTCGGTTGGCTAAAAAAAATTAAAGAAATGGTCGGCCTGGTTGACTGGCCTGAGTGATTTTGACAGCCAGATCAGCCGGAGAGTCCTATGACCTATGTCACTAGGAAATTATTGAGCAAAAAATAAAATAAAAAATAAAAGTTTGGTAGCAAATACAATATGACCTCTAAAAGCATAGCTAGCTGAAGTGCCTACATAAAAATTGAAAAATCTTTCATTTGGCATTTAGGGGTGCCGGTCAAAATCATGTACAATCCCGACAGGTCATAATCCCGACAAAAAAATTCCGACACTTAACACACTTGACAGTCAGAATTTTCAAGTAGAAAATCCCAAATATGTGGTATGTTAAAGTGAAGTAGACTTACAATTTATTAACTTTAGGGTTAGGTCACTTTAGATAAGAGTTAGGCTAGGGTTAGCTATGGTTTATGATATCTTTATTAGATTTTAATTGTCGGGATTTTTAACTGTCGGATTTTTGGTTGTCGGGATTTTTGCTGTCGGGATTTTTTTGTCAGGATTATGATCTGTCGAGATTTCGCTTGTCGGGATTTTAACCCAAACACGCATTTGGGGAGGTTTGACTGCGCATAAAATTTTTTTTTAAAAGAAATTGATTATAAGAATTCTGGATTAAGTAATTGAAAATTAATGGCAATAAAGATAGTTTGTAAGGATCGGTTGCTAAAATTTTTTAGTTGTTTAATCAGCAAAATTACTTTGGTCCATGACAACATAATTATGCACAGAATTATAAAACAATTTTAACCGATTAAACGGTTTGAACCTTAATGTTTGGGTAACTTTAACCCGCATTAAAACGGGTACGAAGAGATTATTTTCTAAATTGTAATATCCTTTGTTTCTTTGCTTTTTTAATCCACAACTCATATGCATATAGCATGAATGAATTTTAAATTTTCACGCACGTACCGGTACTAACAGTTAGGTAATAAGTGATGTACCACGATATACTAAATAAAACAATTGGTTAAACCAATTATCGATAAAACAAGTTCAGCATCTTATCAGGCAGATATGCCAATATTGGAGATTTTTGTATTAGGTTTCATTATTACAATATCTAATATTAAATAACTACCATATCGATATACCCAAACCAACTATGGGTCTTATGTAGTGGTCGGGAAATGGTATATTTTCTAGAATTTAAGTTTGTATTTAGAAAGGTAGAAAGATCGCGTTTAGGGAGATCTAGTGTCCATATTTATAGTTAATGTTCACTCATAAGGCTATTATTTGAGATTGAGAATAAAATATTAATGAATCAAATCTGCTAGCGTCAATTCTGAATAATTCGCAATATAGTAAGCTTATAAAGCAAAATATTCATAAGTTTATACACTTGAATCATACCACCAATTAAAAACATGCGCTTAAAATAATGCCCAAATTTAAGGAGTATGTTCTAGATTTGATTATAATATATGTATACAAGAATCTTTTATATTCAAAAAGATAATCGCAACATTCTCAGTGTTAAAGAAATTTATATAATGCCAAAATTTAAGGATCATGTTTCTAGAGTTGATTATAATACATGTACAAAGAACTTTATATATTCAAAAGATAATCGCGACATTCTCTGGAGCTAACTGCAAGAATATAACTTCGATCGAAATGATTAATGTCTTTCATAATATTTTTCTGGTCGTAGATTGCAGTCTAAAGTACCTCCATGAAAAAATATTCACTAATTAAAATTAAAAAAAATTCAGCATGTTGAATGGAGTCATCCGACTGCTATTTGACAGCCATTCAACTAAGATCGACAAATATTCGGCCATCAACCGGCAAACATTCAACTTAAACAAGCAGAGTTTTTGCCGAATGCTTGTCAATCTTTGGATTTTTACTAGTGATTTTATCGTTATTGGTCTAGAAGCATGGTTATATCACCATGCATCCAATATACATCAATATGCATATGTATGAGCCAATAAATATTTACACGAGGTTACATTGGAAGTAAAAATCTCGGAGTAAAAGATATGAATCTCCCTAAACCTCATGTAGGTTTCTCATACATATATATATTTTTTTTATACACAATATAATACGTATACATATCGATATATGTCAGTTCATATTTAATAACTAAATATCGTTATTGAACTATAACGATAATATTCGGACCTTCTACATTGAAGTTGCCAAAAATAGAAGAGGTATTATACCAGGAATATTTAATTTCGCAAAATACGATACTTACTACGGTATTGACAAATTTTCATTCCGCGTAAAAGAGTGGATTTTTACATAGTAACTAGGAGACTAGATTTGAATGGGCTATTTACAAGCCTATTATTAACAATTATGTTTTAAACATTCATGAATAAAGCTTACTTCGTGACACGAAACTATCGAACACTTATTTCAGATTAAGTTACGAATTCGTTTTTTAGCTTTACTTTTTCCACTGTATCAAAATTTTAAATTAGGCATCTTAACGGTTGCTATATTAATCAAACAAACTATTTCGATCTTATAATTATGATCTTATGTAATTCTAAATATGTTGATTACGAATTTCAAAGTATATTCTCCATTGATCATAGTTATTATTTTTTCGCTTAATGTTCGTTCGTTCACTCCTGATCCACGTGGTGGACACACGGCAATTTTGGTCAATGATAAAATTTATTTCATGGGAGGTTCAAGACCTATACCCAAGACTTCATCAGCGTGGACTCCAACTCATCAATTCAATCTATCAGATGAAGTGTTCTATTTGGATCTTTCTTCATCATTTACCATCAATTCTCCTCCTTTCACAGATCTTTCCGAAATCTCTCGCATGCCGTTTGGTAATGAGAAAGGAACAGCAGTATTGGGAACTAGTGGTGTACGGATTTTTCTCATTGGAGGGGTCCAGCAGGATATGACAACATTTAGCTATAATGGGACCAATTCTAGCCTTTGGATCTATAATGTAAATTCACAACGATGGGACGTTCCTGGGCCAGGAACTAATGGACCACCACTTCCTATTCGTAGGTCTACCGCAACAGTTATCAGTAAAAATGGTACAATATATATACTAGGTTAGTGATATGAATCGAAAATCGATTAAACGTTTGGTAGACTGAGTTGGCAACTAATCGATTATTTAAAAAATAACTTTGACTCAACAAGTAATCGACTAACCAACTAATTGATTAATCAATTAATTGATTAGTTGTTTTTATATTAATTAGTTTTTATTAATTAAATTTATATTCAGTATTTTATTAAATTAATTTAAATTAAAATTATATCAATTTTAACCAAATTTTTTTTAAAAAATATTAACTAATAAATTAGTTAATCAACTATTTGATTAGTCGTTAATTGTATAATCGATTACTAACAATAATTAATTTTTAATCGATTTTTTTAAAAAAATATTCAACCAACTAATCGATTACGTTTTTTGCTCCACTGTATCAGGCGGAAGAGTGGAAATGGATACTGCTTCAAATGTGTTTACAATCCTCGAGGAATTTTTCACATTTGATACTTTATTATTGAGGTGGACAAATCTGACTTCACTTCCTAATCATCCATATAAACGAAGTCATAGCACTGCAACTTTAATGCCTGATGGAAAAATTATTTACATAGGTGGTGTTACTCAATCTATCCCTGGTGAACCTGCAACTCGTATAAGTATGAATGAAGTGAGTAATTTTACAATGATAATGCCTACATAAGATAGATAACGTAATGTGGGTATTGTGAATTGATCAGTATCGAATGATTTATTTACGCATTATTCGATTATTTTTAATGAGCTTATTTGGTATAAAACTGAGAATTGCACAATGCACATGTTCATGATCGTGACTTCCATTTTGATTTAAATCAAACTTTGTCATTGCAACATAAAAATCTGTTATAATTATTTAGATATATATTTTTGATACTATTGCATCAGCTTGGTCGCTAAAGGTATTTATGGTTTCTTTATATAAATTCTTATTGTCCTGAAATTTTTAATAAATTAACTATTATTTAGTATGCTGTGGGGAACGTCGATTCTCGTGTTGGACACACCTCTCTTCTAGGTAAATTATTAAGACTATATATAAGAATATTTTAACTATAACCAGTGGTGATCTTCGCCAGGGTGCTGTATCTCAACAACTTACTACTAAACTCACGTCAAGGTACTAAGTAAAAATCTCAGATCCCCAAAATCTAACTCTATGATTTGGACTTTATATCTGACCCCTATCTTACCCTAAAATTACACCCTAACTCTGTGGTGATGATCACCACTGGTTATTTTGAGTATATTTTTGTATCTAACATATTTTTATATTTATAATTTCTGAATTATTATAATTAATATTATGTGCATACATACATTTACTTGATTTTAAAGCCCCCGATAATCACACTATAGTAATCTTAGGGGGATCGCAAAGTTACGGACTTAATCAAACTACACCATATCCGGTTTTCGTATTGCTAGATGTTAAATCTGAACCTTTTCAATACTCCAGTCCTCAACCTTCTGGAATATCTCCTCCCCCACTGTCATTTCATACAGCATCATTTTATAAAAACTATATGATTGTAGCATTTGGTAATTATTTATCCTCAATCAATAATATTTATTATGGATTATTCCCCGTCTCATGATGTTCGCATGATGGGATTTACTGTTATTAATCACGATTTTGTCACATTTTTTTCCTTTTCTTCTTGGTGATTTCCGGGCTTATTAATTATCGCTCAGGGATTTATTTGTTATTTCCCAAAAAAAATTTTAAAAATGGTAATAAAGAAAAGAAATGTGATAGAAATGATTAGTAACACGGTCCCTGTCATGTCATATGGAAACGGTGAATAAACAGTATTTATTACGCATCACGTAATATTGTATTTGGCTACTTTCACATTCTTTGGTATCTTTCATAGGAAAATCACTTAAGCAGTCTATCAAAAATTAAACAAATTGGACAAAACTAACATAAACATTTTAGCAAATTATAGGACACTATTACCAAGATTAATCTCTAATTTCTTTTTAAGGAGGTTACGCAGTGATGTAATAACTTTAAATGAAGCTTTATGCTGACTTTTTTTTTTTTTTAAGAAATAATCAGCATTATAGTCAGACCTCTCTAAGTGAACTTCCATAAGTGCACCTTCCATAAGTGCACTCTCTATAATTGCACAACCTTTCTAAATGCATGCTCAGATTCGACCCAAATATATTTTTGACATCTATAAATGACTTTCTCTAAATGCACGTTGCTAAAGTGGTCTCAAGGCGCACACTTAGAGAGGTCTGACTAGAGTTAATACCTGGATCCGGATCCTAATCACAAGATCCGGATCCTAATAATAAAATCGGATCTAATTATAAGATCCGGATCCTAATAATAATAAGATACGGGTTTCCATAAATTCTGGAATACTAAAATTTTGCACGGTTTCTAAATCTTTTCGGCTTCATCCTAATTATTCGGAAACCACGTCGCTTCTTTGGAATTTTAGTCCAAAAATAGTAACAAATTTTTCAAGTGCCCCTGATATTATTAAGATTCGGATCTTATTATTAGGATCCGGGTCTTATTATTAGGATCCGGATCTTATGCTAGATCCGATCTTATTACTAGGATCCGGATCTTATTATTAGGATCCGGATCTTATCGTTAGGATCCGGATCCAGGTATTAACTCTAGGTCTGACTGTATTAATTTTTGGCAATGGTGTTCTACATAATAAAATTATCTATACTTATACAGAATTAAATATAAATTGTAGCAAATCATAAACAGGTCTTCCTATGGCTGTATCTGAAAGTATAAAAGCGTCATTTGATCAGCTTTTATAAACACTAACATTCACATTTAGCATTTTTTATTTTTATAAAAAATAAATAGGTAATATCACCAACGATTTGGGACCTTCGATTGAAACATCATCTAACATATATTTAATGAATCTTTTAAATTATACGTGGGTGACGCGATTTGAAAAGAGTTCCCCCTCTACCAATGCCACTAATGACAACCACTTGCCTATCATTTATGGTGTTATTTTTTGCATTGTCGGCATTTTTATTATTACTAGTATAATTGTATATCTTCGGCACTACAGTTGCGATTCGTACACGATGTGCAAGAAGTGCTCGGTGTGCACAAAGCGCGCGGTGTGCAAGGAGTGCATAAAGCGCGCGAATAACAAAAATGGACCGGAAGAATTATTCTAATAGTGTCCTTTTTTTTGAAAAATTGCTTCCGAATTCAGAATAATTACAAACCAATCAAACAATGATTAACCAATCCTTTTATCTTGTCTATATGCCAAAAAGCTCTTTTATTAGTTATAACATGTTCTTTATTTATTATTTTTTCGTAACTTAAAAAACAAAAATTTTGTGTAGCTGTTTATAAAAAAAAGGCTCCAAAAAAATTAAATCGGCCGATATGGAATCCATACGAAATAGTGTAATACAATCTTTCATGGAATACGTAAAACTTATTATATATAGATTATCTCACACGTGGCACATTTCTAATTACGTATCAGATGTCGTGCAGATCACATGTGTAAAATTCTTAATATGGAGTCAAATGATTGACGCACCTAATTTTTATATGCAAAATTTAGAAAAATTTTTGTTTTTTGGATTTATTTAATAATAAAAATTTTTTGGTTTAATTTTTGGGTATCATTTGCAAATTCCCTAGCATTCGAAGATTCTTCTTATAAATTTCAAGGGTAATATAAAATAAAATGAAAAATAATCTTGACCGTGAAGTTAGCCAATTTTTTTACGATTTTTACTATTTGTTTATAAGTGATATATGTTATTTAACCAAAATAGGTAATGATAATCATTCAAGTAATTAAATGTTTATCATTGCCTATTTTGGGCAAACAACATATATCACTTATAAACAAGTAGTAAAAATCGTAAAAAAATTGGCTAACTTCACGGTCAAGATTATTTTTCATTTTATTTTAAACCATCCTTGAAATTTTGTGAAAACAACCTTTGAATGCTAGAGAATTTGCAAATAATACCCAGAAATTAAACCAAAAAAAATTTTATTATTAAATAAACCCAAAAACAAAATTTTATGTATAAAAATTAGGTGTGTCAATCATTTAACTCCATATCAAAATTGATCTGCATGACACCCCATATGACTGGTATAGTTTATAGTAATAAGAGATTATACTTCCTACATTTTCTATTTTAAAGCTATTTCGAAACTTCACTAAATTTTATATTTTTGGCATTTTGGATTTTAGTATTTTAATATTTAAGGATTTGACTAAATTTTTAAAAGAGGATTTATACTCTCTGGTTCCACATGAGAATTTATTTTTGATCCTATTAACTATAGTGATTTATATATCTACAGAGGATTTCTTGTAGACTTTTAACTTACAATAAACTTGAAATTCTAATACATCTTCATTAACTAATTTCTAAAGATTTGACTAAATCTGCAAGAGAATCTTTATAGTTATTTAGCATAAATGTGTTTCTCCTTGCAAACTTAATGTCTTTATATATTTCTTTGCATTATTTGGTTCAAATTCTATTGAATTATCTAAATTCTTGAGATTTATCATAATACTGTATTTCATTATAGTATGTTTGTCCTGAAGATCTTAGTGCAAATGGGTTATCCATCTCTATTTTTAGTGATTTTGCTAAATCTTTAATTGACTTGTTATATTAAGCCAAATAATAGTGAACAAGTCATTGGTATCTTAAAAACTCTGCGCTATTTTGATTAATCTTTAATGTATTATTTAATTAGTTAAGTGAATTTTCCAATTTACTGAGCATATAATATGCTTGTGCTTGCATTTTTAATGCAGTAAAATTTTTTGGTTTAACGGCCAGGATTACGAAAAATAACGTAACAGAATTACATTACTAGCTCTCTGACCCAGGCGCTGCTCCATGAGCACGTTCTTAATTTTTTTAGTTTTTAATTATATCTAATTTTCATTATTTAATTAATTAGTATATAAGTCTTAAATTATTTGTATATTTTTACATCATAGTTTTTATAGTCTAAGTATTTAATAGTCTTATTAATAGTCTTAAATTGTTTATATATTTTTACGTTATAGCTTTTATAGCTTAAGAATTAATTAATATACAATAAACTTATATATATTGTATTTAATTGCAATATTATAAATATTAATATAATAATAACAATATAATAAATATTAAATTTTAAATTTAAATCTATTGTAAACCTATCTAAAACCTTCTTAAATCTAACTCTAACTCTAACTCTAAACCTTAACCTTAACCCTAGTCTTAATCTTAATTTAGTTATAGTTTAATTATTAATATAATTTATAAAGGTTTTTTACAATTAATTACTAAAATACTTTTATTTTATATACAATTAATTTAATAAAATTAC